TGATTCGTACTTTACTTTCCAATCTAGAGGGACAGTTATGTCTTGATAGGTTTGTAATTGTACAAGAAAAAAAATTGAAGTTATTGAAATTAATGTCACAAAATGTGAAATGATGTAAGGGGGTAATTATTTTTTGCAAAGCCCTGTCTGACGTAGTGGTAATGGACTTAATTTGCAAGCTACCAACTCAATAGAAAGTTAACCAGATATTGGGGATTCTAATCGCCTTACATTTATTGGTAAGTTGGGCGAGTCGTACTTTCTCAGAGGAGAACGTTTCATCGAGATCAAACAGGTCCAGCATGGGAGAAGGCAACTCACTTAACGCAGGTGGAAAGACCTTCAAGGATAAAATAACATCCATCAGTGTTACAATCTGTTTCCTGCTCAGTGAATGCTGAATCCACAGACTCACAGCAGGCTGAAGCTGAGGCAGCGGCGTCTCAAACTGTGGAGTGATGAGCTGAAGTGGCTCGTGTTTCACATTGAGCTGCTTAAAGGAACTGCAAACACATTGTTATAGCTATGAGACAGAAAATTACCAGGGGTTTGTTGAACGCTCGTTCCATATACCTTATGACTTCTGGTAAACTGTGGGGCGACAAATTGAACAAAGACATATCAAAGAGGGAGGTGAAGTCCCGCGGGTTCTCGTCTCCCTCCTGTAAACACACTCGCAGCTGTTCCGACAAGCGGCCCGTGTCTGGCAGCATTGTGTAGTCTGCAATCTAGGCGACACAACAACAGGAAGTGAGCTAATGGCGATCGCTGGAGGTGATCTTTTAGTATGGTCCAGTCTGCACACCTCGGGATCCTCTGCGTCGATCTGATTCAGCTGAATGTTTTCTGACATGAGCCACTGAAGCACAACGGCCTGCAATGAAATGAGGTAAACAGTTTTATTTCTGTTTTTGCATGTTGTTCAAAATGTTCTAAAAAAGAAGCTAAAAAAAAAATCATAAATTTCAAAGGTATGCAGTTGCTGAAATTATGTAACTGATGAGGTTTAAAAGCCCATAAAGCTACTTTTAGTGTTTTCTCCACTGCAACTTCCATGAGACCACACATAAATATAAGTTAACAAGAAAATACGTTTAAACATAAGCAGTTAAAAATCATGCTTTTTATGTAACTGGTGTCCCGGAGAAGTTTTCCTTCTAGGTTTCTTTTTTTAAGAGCAATGTTTGTGTTTTGGGGCTCTGATTACTGTTTTTTTTTTTTTTTTTTTACCAGAAAATAGGCTGCAATTATTTAATTATTTTTATCATTATGTCAATATATATCAACACATTTTGTGGTACCACTGGAAAACACACCCCTTTAAAACATTAGATCTTCACTCATTTGTTATCAATCATTTTACAAAAAGTTCTTCAACATTTGGACTCACCATTATTTTACTGTTCTCTTCCCTGTCTGTGTACTGATCACAGAACATGTGGCAGGAACCCAAAACGGCCAGTTTACCAGACTCCTGTGTGAGACAAAAAACTAATTATACTAATTATATTTACAGGTGGTCATTGTCATGAAGTTTGGGGGGAAAAAAAGGAGAAAGAATGAAATCCACAGGCCTTTCCGTGGTAGAAGGCCAGGACGGGCCTGTTGAGCGGGAAGCAGACAGAGCCGGTTGACAGAACAGCCACAGCAGGTTTCATCACGCTCAGTGTGGCTCCAAAAGGGTACACAAATGTCAGAGCCCTGCAGAAACCCACACAGATCAACTCAACTTCAGACCACAGCAACCATACAAACCAAAGCAACCAGTGTTAGAAAACAGAGTTGCTTACTGTGTGTTGTTTCCAATAGCTTCATCCTCGATCACCCCGGTTACCACTTTGCCGGCAGCTCGACTGATTTCCCTTAAACAAAAAAAAAAGAAAAAGAAAGAAAGGAGAATGATGAAACTTCTGCAAATTAAAGAGTGCATTTCCATAACGAAGACCAGAAGGTGACAGCTGACCTGTTCAACACGCCGTTGGAGACCAGGGCCTCCTTGGGGTGAAAGTATTTGTAGTACACATTCCGGACTACAGCGTCTGTTGCAGTGAAAGGAGAGAAAGATTGGCTTCGACTCAGACCGGCGAATCTGGGCTTTGTGTCAGACTGCTGTACGCACCACTGTTGACCATTATTCCAAACTCCTCCAGGAGGAAATTGATGTTTGTGTCATATTTCATTTCTCCTCCCTCTCCAAGCATGACCAGCATGTTTCCTCCTCCATCCAGGTAGTGCTTCAGCACCTCCAGCTGTGGAAAAAAAAATACGGGATAAGTTTGCACAAAACAATCTTCATTCTTCCTGAAGCTTTTGTGTAATATTCCGCTGCTGTGAAATGTCTTAATGCACATCACCTCTGATGCTGTGAACTTCTCCCTTGGGCCGGCAGTTATCCACAGCTTCACACCCTTCAGCTTCTCTACAGACAGTTCTTCCTTTATACTGCAAGGGATGAAGATGAGCCACTCAGTAAGGAGGATAAAATCTAAAGTCATGACCAGGTTTCTCACACATAGTTTTAACTTCTTAAATTGGCTTGTATGTAGCCAGTATGGAAGGTAAAGAGTGACTAAATTAAATACATAAATATACCATAAAATATATATCATAAAATTAAAAACATCCTTAAATAATTTATCACTGAATAATTAAATATATAATGAAACTGTGAAATATGCAAATAATTAGATGTCCTGGGAAATAACTAAATCTACCTTTTTAAATGAGTTTAGATAAAAAATAATTGGCCTAGTTTTAATATTGTTTTATTTACTTTTATTAATCTACAGGTTACGGTATTTGAGTCAGTGTTTCTTTTTTCTTTTTTACTGTTTTCATGGTTATTGAGCCATTTAGAATAATGTTTTATTCTTTGTGTGTTGATGCAATTTTTTCTTTTTGTCAAGAAAGCTGACTCCCCTCACTGTAACCAAATCTATCTAATGGTCTAAATAAAATTTATTTACTGATTGTACTTTGAAGGAAAATTTTTATCTTAAAATATATGTAATTATTTCACTGTGTATTTATTTATTTCATGGCTCTTGTGGCAGCACTATTGTCATAAAATAATTTAAATAATTCAAAGCCAGAGTACAGTGTGAATATCATCTCAATAAGTTAAAATGCCACTGAAAAGTTCACCATATTTAGATGCACTTACCAACCTCCCTACACATGAATGGATTTTGCTTCACAATCCTCTCAAGGCTGGAGATATTCAAGTTTCTTGTGCATAATTTTCTACCACTACCTGTCCCTTTCACTCAACTTTCTACTTCTATGATTAGATGCAGCACTCTGTGAACACCAGGTTTATTTAGCAATAACCTTTGGCAGCTTACTCTCATTGTGGAGGATGTCAGTGATAGTCTGCTGGACAATTAAGTCAGTTTTCCCCATGACTGTACAGGCCAAAACATTGATGTAATGTTATATTTCGGTATTATAAATAATAATAGTTTTATATAACATTCAAATGTACTAGGGTTTTCATTAGCTGTAAGCCATGGTCATTTAAATTAGGCAGACCTATATAGAAGTTTCACGTTTTGAACTGAACTTCTGTTTGATGGCATTCCAATTTATTGACACGCACCTGTACTTATGTGTCGAACTTAAACACGCTGACCGCAGTGGGGTTACTCTTACCTCTGGATTTTCCACTGCGATCTGAGTCTCTTCTGCATGTACTTGTAGCCATTGTTGATGCCAAACAGCTCTCTTTTAGAAGCATTAAAGATTATGAAGCTCTGTTGTTCTTTCTCCATCATTATTAATGTGCAAACTTAAGACTTCGGGTTGTGTTTGTTTCCATATACCTGAAAAACAATATAAACTGAATATTAAAGTCTCGTGCCTTCAGTTACAGTACTACGTAGCGTGGAAAGCTAGCGGTAATGTTAGCACGGTTGTTTCACTGCACTTCATACAGCGTCAAAAAACAATTAAGCCAGCATTGTTTCATACACATCACAGAAATCGTTTCTAAGACTTAACTTTTTTTTTTAAATATACATGTTTGCAGTCCGCAGCTGGAAGGACAAAGCTCAGAAACTGAGAAGCTAATGTTAGCTGCTGTCAGTATCTACCGCTAACGGGGTTGAAACACGTTAGTGTGATGAGTTTTCCGGATATGTGATTAAAAACAGAGTTCAGAAAAGAGATAAAAATACTTACTTCCTTTCAATAGAATATTATTTTGTTATATAATGTTATTTAGCGTTAACTAAATATCTTAAAGCGCTCCTTGAAGTGATGCATTATGGGAAGAATTGGTAACTAAGGGCGCGAACTACATAGCAACCGAGTGGGATAGCTACGTGTCAAAACAAAAGCTTCCTCTAAGATTTTCTTAATTCCTTTTGTGGAATTGGCTTATAAAATTGTAGGTACCATATTTTATTAATATTTACATATTTAATTAAATTACAAGCAGGGATAGAGGAGGGAAAGATGACGGAGTCATCATACTTTTTAATTTTAATTTCCCCTTGGGATCAATAGTATTTTTGAATTTGAATTACTCCTACAGTGATATTGAAAGTTTTCTCTTACTTTTCCATAGAAATCTCCAAAACACTTTCAACACAACTTTTGGGGATTCTGCAAGGAAGGAAAATGTTGACAGTAGATATTTACATAAGCTGTATAAAAGGGATGCACAGTGGCACTGAAAATAGACCCTGGGTTTTAAATTATTTTCATGTATTTTGCATATGTGGGTTATTTCCTGGTACACCGGCTTCCTCCCACAGTACAAACATGGCCGAGTTTTAATTTTATGGAAAAAAATAAAAAAATAAAAACTCTTCCTTGCACAATAATCTCTACCAGTTCCATGTGAAGAGATATAGAAAAGTCTCTGACATACTCATTGTTTTTTATGCATCCCTTTGCATTTTAGTAAAACAAAAATGGCACCTACTGTGTCCTGGGTTCTTCACCATCACCCTGTTCATTGAGCTGCTTGTTCCTCACAGGTTTTAAATGCACAAACATTTTATCACAAGTTACAAGCTTTATTGTTACAGTGCAGAATTCTCTTAACTTTTTCACATTCAAGCTAAATACAAAGCACATTTTGACATTAGTGCAATAATTGAAACAAGTCTGACTTCTGGGATACCCCTGTAAGGAAAATGATACATTAAAAACAAGTTACCATGCTATCAAGGCACCACAGGTCAGAAATGTTGCAACAAAATCAACAAAAGGAGTCAACATTGTATATTAACTTTTATATTATATAACATCATTGCATGAATGTTTCCAAGAAATACAGAAAAGCTTAAATCCATTCTAGGCTTTTCTGTCTTTGGGAATGTTAATAAACAAAAATTTATTCATAAAATTGAAATATTTCAAGCTGGTAGACAATGTTATAAATTCTACACAGTCACAATAAACGGCACATCTGGTTGCATCTGCGGATATCGTCACGTCTTCATTAGGTTCTAACATGGCTTATATTTTAGCCACCAGTGTACAAACGTATCACACTCGTTCATAAAACTGAAAAAATGTTATTCAAGTCCTGACATGTAAAACCCTAGAAGTTAGAAAGATTGTACTCGCTCCCCCAAATGCATAAATAATTTTAATTTGATATTTGAATACTTTAAAAGCAATCCTTCCATAAAACACTTAAAACAGCAGATGTCACTCATAATTATAGCAAATATGTAATAAAAACTGCTATAGCTTGCTGTTCTCTGGGACAGGTTTGACTCTGAGGACCCCTTCCTGAGAGCACGAGGCAGCCAGGACCCCATCTCTTCTCCACAGCCGGCCCTGAGCCAGTCCTCTGCTGCTTCCTGCAGGAGTCAACAACCACACACCAAAAACGAACACAAACGTTAGGCTCAAACTGGAAATGGAGAAAAATTTAGGAAAAAGGACAAATCTGAGGTATCGTATTGGCCGTTACTGACCCGATACAGAAAAACAGCTGAACTGACTTAAAACGCTTCTCTGTTTAAACACAGACATAAATGTAGTGAATTACAAATCTATTTGATAACTCTACACCAGTGCAGCACACATAGATACACCGATGGCTTTACAACCTTGGTAAGACATGTAAAAACAACAACTTTATTTTGTTAAGTCAGCGCAATTTAGAGTACAACAGTTAACGTAGAAACTGAAACAACAGGTTGGGTATGTTGGTCAAACATGTAAAAAATAAATTGCAACAAACCTTTTTTCAAATGGTTCAGAAAACACAATTAGGAATTCTAAGTATGATGTAAAATAAATAAAGCTTGACATCACTCAAAATTAGACTGAATAGATCTGCCCTAATGGATAGGGCACATTGCCACTGATAACATATCTAGAATTTTTTTCAATATTGGCAACGATTTAGATATTAATATCAGATCGGTGCATCTCTAGGTATTAACTGGCTAGAGTGAGATTTGAAAATGGACACATCCCAAAACGCAAGGCTGAGCAATCTGTGTCCTTAGTTTAAGTATGATTACATGCAAAGAGCCTTTCAGAGCAATTTAATGAATCCCAACTTGAAGGTTCAGGTACCACAGCTTCTGTTGTGATGGTTGGTAAGTCAACACAGAGAAAATTAGAGCGGCGAGAGTTTATAATGATTTAAACAAGTCACTTGGAGAAACCTATAACACAGTGGTGTCCAAAGTGGGCTGGTATACGCATGTTTTATTTCTCTCCATGATTTAACACACCTGGATCCAATGATGGCTCATTAGAAGGACTAAGAAGAACACTGACATACTGAGAAGGTTGTTAACTACCACCAGGGGGAGAACTACAGCATGCAGGGTGCCTCGCCCTCCAGGACCCACTTTGGATACCACTGCTCTAAGAGGCCCTTGTTCCACCACTTCAAATGAGTGAGTCATTCATTAATCGAGCAGCACTCAGAATGGTGCCAACACTTATTTTGTATTTTACTGTTCATCTTCACCATTGTTGTCCAGAACAAAGCGGGGCAGGTATGTGAGGACAGCGGGGTTACAGGAGGAGGTTCTGACCTGCCCAGGGGCTGTCACACTCGTACAGCATCCACTCGTCGCTACGGAAGGTGCTGTGGAACCACATGGCGTGGTCCAAGGAGGCGGTGAAGCGGGCCTTGTATTTAGGGTATGGCAGCAGTACCGTCCCTAGGAGGGCAAAGTCTGACACGTAGGCGGCCACACAGCAGTGCAACTTCATGTTTCCTTCACCTGCATGGGAACAAAAGCCATCTGCATCCACAGAACTCATTCAATTATGTTTTTTTTTGTTTTCTTGCCGTTATGGGTTGTTCAGATATTACCGATATGTCCTCGCGCTCTGGCCCAGAACAGCCTCCGTGGTTGTCCTGAAACGTGGCGGTAAAACTGTGCTGGGCTGACGGGCTTCACCTCGATGGGAACCTCGGTAGCCAGGAGTTTGTTCAGGCCTTGTTTTGCACTCTCTGTCAGGTCTGGTTTACTGTGAGGTGAGCAGATCCTCAGATCACATTCAGAGCAGAATGAAGACAGTTTGTTGTGCAGCCAGATGGAGCAGTGAGTTCTCATCTATCCTTTTTCTACAATTTCATTCATACTTTTTTAGGGGTGAGGCACTGCATGTTTGGACAAATCCCTTTGGTTTTGGATGTTGTGCAACTTTAATTTTTTTTTTTTACTTTCAGATAGCTGATGTGATGCAAACCATGGAAACAAGGTGCTTTTCCTTACAACCACTAGCTAATTGGCATCTCAAAAGATCAAATGATACCTGAACTCTGATCCCAGATCAGAGGAGAAGGTGGCTTCAGGGATGAGGAGGTCCAGAGAGAGGGAGGAAGTTCAGACCGTCTTAAATTTAAAATGTTTTAGTTATTCCCTCAACTAGGCCTGTCAAGATAACATATTTTGCTTGATGATAAATTGTTCCAGTAATTATTACGATAAACAATAATATTGTTGTTTTGAAGTCATATATTTATACTGGTGTAATGATACAGTCTCAAAGACCAAGAAACTTTAATTGTTTCAGTAAAAATTTAGCACAGGAACTGGAAGACATTTTAAATATCCAAAGTAAACAACAACCAAAAACGATAAAACAGAAATCAAATCCATGCACACACAAAAATAAAATGGATTAAGAAGTCTGTAAACATATTCAAAAAATATGTGTGGAATCAAAACTGTTGATTTCATTTTAATTTATCATGAGATTAATTGATTGCTTACCTCCAACATTGATTTTGATTATCTGACACAAAAACACTACTGTAAAAATATTATTGCTATAATATTCACTAGCAAATTTCACACAGGTGGGACAGAGTGCATCAGCACCATGTAATTCTTTCACCCCATCAAAAGCCTCATGACCACCACAAAATACCGACAGCAGAACATCTTTGAACTTCCAACCAAGCTCACATCTCCATCACAGAGCGCCGTACCTGAGGTAACGCTGGATGATCTCCTCAACGGTGGGAAGGTCTTCAGGCTGAGGGACCACCGGCATGGGGAACTGGTGCTGCAGCGGGCTCGGCTGCAGCAGCTGGAAGGACGCCTGGCAGATCAGGATGGGCTGTCCGTGCTGGATGGCCTTCACAGAGCGTACAGTGAAACTGCGCCCATCTCTAGTGCGGTCCACCTGGTACAGAACCGGTACCTTTGGGTCTCCTGGAAGAAAAGAAAGGAGGAAAAAAACAAACAATGATTCAACTCTTCAAACTGTTGCTTGGCTCCAGATGTTTCATAATCTGAGTCTTACCTGCTCGCACAAAGTAGCAATGGAGCGAGTGGGCATAGAGATCGTCACTGACCGATTTGGCAGCAGCCACCAGAGCCTGGCCGATGATCTGACCGCCAAATAAGCGCCGTGTGCGTGGCACCCAGTGGTGCGTTCCCCTGGGGGAGAAAGAGATGGGACTGAAATAAAATACTCTTATCAGATCCAGCTGCTAGGAATAAAACGTAAAGCTTCCTGCAAGCAGGTTTAGTAGCTTCTAGCTGCTCCTAGAGATGAACTGATCGAGTTTGGTGGATGACCATTTTGATCTCCAGTTCATAGCAAAATATAAAAATAAATGTAAAAAAAATTAACAGTTTTCATAAATATTGTTTTCCAGTAAGGGTGCAATGACAAATAGGCTCCAATTTCCATAACGTCATGATCGGCTGATACCGATGTAACTTAACAACATAAGTTTGTTAAGTTGTGACAAAAAGCTGTCACAACTTAGCAACACAACGTTGTGCGTTTAGTGATAAAAAAAATTGCATTGGCCAAATTTGGAATCGGAAGGTTAGGCTTTTTAAAGATTAATGATCAGCCAGAAAACTACAATCGGCGCACTTCTTTTTTCCAGCCTTTCTGACATCAGCAGCCATTGTTAATTCATATTGGAAGCAGAAGCTAGATCTCACTTTTTTGACAGAGAAAGTGTGATCTCTAAATTTTTAAGAATATAGAGATCACACTTTCAACTCTATAACTTATTAGAGTAGACAGTATGTGGAATCAGACTGCTTGGATACAATATTAGACGGACCTTCGTATTCATTTTACTTAGTGCTAAAGCTAACAGAGAGGAGTGGGAACACTGTGATGAAAGAAAAGGATTCAGGGAAAGGGAAGTCAATCGCACTCATTATTGCAATATTGAGCAATAGTACTGCAATACATCATATTTTGGGAGTTTTTTGTGTCCATCTGATGCTAGCACAGGTGTTTTCCCTTAACCTTAACTCAGAACTTTCCAAAAGACTTCTCACATTTTCAATACCAGGAGGCTTCAGAGCAGATTGAAAGCCTTANAATGNTAAAAGTGTGTTCAGCTGAGCAGCTGTCTCCTGGAGTCCATCTCTCACTTGGACCTAGTGTCTTAGACCGGGGCCCTTAAATCCTTAAAATTAAGGATTTACATATAAGGTCCTTAAATCCAGGCCTCAAGGACTGGGGTCTTGCAGCTTTTAGATTCCCTCTGCTTTAAAACACCCGTGTCAAATAATCAGGTCATTAGCAGGACTCTGTAATTCAGCCACTTGATTGACTTGTGTTGGGCCAGACGCATCTAAAAACGATGTGTTGAGTACGATGTGAAAGATTTGATTTTTGATTTTCTCATCAATATAAAAACTGGCCAGTTTTAGTTGGGAGATTATCTCAGTGCAAATCTAAATGTTTGTTTTACATTACAATCATTACAGTTACAGGAACTGTTGTCCACATGACTATACAATTTGTTAGAGTAGTCTATTATAAAGCATATTTTCCCAGTGGTGTGTGTGTGTATATATATATATATATATATGCTTTTTTTTTCTTTTACAAAAAAAGATTAAGAAAAAAATAAAAAAGTCACTGTTCCGTCTCCAAAATTGTTTTATCCATGTTAATCTTGAAAAAAACAGTCACAAGCTTGGAGCTGCCTGCATGCGATTCAATCATTTTTAAAAATGAGTCGCGATCATGTGTATTTTTCAACCCATTTATTTACGTTTGCAGCGATTTATTCAGGCATTGTGACAGTCACCTACCCGGAATCGTTACACTGACAGAGACGGTTTTCGGTATTGAACACCTCCCTAAAAACACAGCTGTAAAACTGTTTATCCTTTCAAAAGCCCCAGTTAACTAGAAGCAAGTGAACTAACTTCTAAATGTTGTAGAAATGACGAACTGGAGCTACTTACCTGTAGAGGTCAATGTCCAGCTGCTCCAGGTTTAAAACACTGGTAACCAGGACGCTTCGGAGGTCCTGCGGGTACTGAGCTCCAGAACTTTCCGAGCTGTCATCCTCAGCTGAATTATGTGACTCTATTTTACCAATTAACCGGTTAACGGCATCACTCTCACTCACTTTCCCGTCTGCCATTTTTCTTTAGCACTTCCTCTTATTTCCTTAAGACTCGGTGCCAATCAGATATATTGCTCTTTATCGCCTCCCAGTGATGAAGTGAGTTATTTTCAAGCTTTCCAAAGCATATATTTGTAGATTACATATGAAATATTAATAGTTTTTAAACTAAAAAAAACACAAACGGTTAATTATATTTTTCAAAAGTATATTCCCCTCAATGTTTTCACATTTCAAGTACAGCCTAAACTTCAACGTATTTTGAATTTTATGAAATCTAACACAAAGTTGTGCATAATTGCAATGCAGTGGGAAATTCTGCATGTTTCAAAAGTATTTTTTGAAAACATGCATCCAAGTCTTGGTTATATACATTATATTTCCAAAGTTATGCTCACCCATCCTAAATAGGACTCAGGTGTTCCAATCACTTCTATGGCCATGGGTGTGTAAAATGAAGAACCTAGGCATGAAAACTGTTTTTACAAACATTTGTGAAAGACTGGTTTGTTCTCAGGCACTCAGTGAATTCCAGAGTGGAACTGTGATAGGATGTCACCTGTGCAACAAATCCAGTCGTGAATTTTTCTCACTCCTAAATATTCCACAGTCAACTGTCAGCTATATTATAAGAAAATGGAAGTGTTTGGGAACGACAGCAACTCAGCCATGAAGTGGTAGGCCACATAAACAGACAGAACGAGGTCAGCAGACAGTGAAGAGGTGCAAAGAGGTCGCCAACTTTCTGCAGACTCAATCACTACAGACCTCCAAACTTCATGTGGGCTTCAGATTAGCTCAGTAACAGTGTGCAGAAACTTCATGGAATGGGTTTCCATGGTGACCAGCTGCATCCAAGCCATACTTCACCAAGAGCAATGCAAAGCGTTGGATGCAGTGGTTTAAAGCACTCCACCAGTGGACTCTAGAGCAGTGGAGGCGCCTTCTCTGGAGTGACATATCGCGCTTCTCCATCTGGCAATCTGATGGATGAGTCTGGGTTTGTTGGTTGCCAGGACAACGGTATTTGTCTGACTGCATTGTGCCAAGTGTAAAGTTTGGTGGAGAGGGGATTATGGTGTAGGGTTGTTTTCGGGAACTGGGCTTTGCCCCTTAGTTCCAGTGAAAGGAACTCTGAATTCTTCAACATACCAACACATTTTGCACAATTCCATGCTCCACACTTTGTGGGAACAGTTTGCAGCTGGCCCCTTCCTCTTCCAACATGATTGAGCACCAGAGCACAAAGCGAGGTCCATAGAATACCTGTGGGATAAATTAGAACATAGACTGAGAGTCAGGTCTTCTCGTCCAACATCATCAGTATGTGACCTCACAAATGCACTCCTGGAAGAGTGGTCAAAAATCCCCATAATCTCTCCTAAACCTTCTGGACAGCCTTCCTAGAAGAGTTGAAGCTGTTCTAGCTGCAAAGGTGGACCAATGTCATATTGAACGTATGGATTAGGAATGGCTTGTTCCTTAATCTCATATGTGAGTGAAGGCTGGTGAATGAATGCTTTTGGCAATATAGTTTATTAGTCAGATTGGAAGCAGAGTGACTGAAAATAGAGGCAGCTGGTACTGCAGCAAGAAGATCCTGTGTTCAAATCCCACCCAGTTCCATTTGATTTTAATTAAGAGTATTAGAGTAACTGGAACTGAAAACAAAAGCATGCCACACTTTTCAGAGTTTTATTTCTGAAGTTTTTGTAAACCACATGTCATTTTCTCTCTTCCTCACAGTTGTATGCTACTTAGATGACAGGACACTTTGAAGTTTTGTGGTTGTAACAAGACAGAATGAGGAAAAAATAAAGAGAAATGATTATTAATAAAAGGTGCACATAATTAGGCAAAATTTGTGAGGAATAATTTTGGAAAATGCTGGAGATTTGTCTTTCATTCAGGTTGTAATAAATCTCAGTACCACATTAGAGAGCAGCCACACATCTGACTTGCTTCTTGAAGATGTTTCATCTCTTATCAGGGGTTGGGCAGATTCGTGTTTATTATATAACATGATGATTACATAAACCTGGAAGAACGGCTGTCCAATCGTATTCTAGTCAATCCTTCAACGAGGAAAAACAATCAGGAACTATCGGATAGTTTTTGCTTTGTTTGTAACATTCGCAGTAAAGATCCAATAGTTTCTCATTAACTGTTACTAGCTGTTGGTTAGCATCTCCAAGTAAAGTGAAGCATGACCACATATGCAAATTCCTGAATGTCAATGGCATAAAAGATTTATAAAAAAAAAAAAAAATCAGAACATCAGAACTGAGCATCAACACCTGCTGTGTGAACATATAGCTTAAAACTGGAAGGATCTAAAATAAAAGGGAAAATAGAAATGTCATATGCTCAGAAATGTCCTTGTTTTTTCTGGAAAATTTCTGAAATTAATCTAAAAAATTATGAGTTTTTTTTGTTGTTGTTGTTGTTGAAAATTTCCTCTTTCTTTCTACCTTCTATGTCCAAACTGTTGTATTATCTGTGATGTATAGTAAATAAGCTTAATAATAATAATAATGACAAAGCCACAACTTTATTTGTTCTGAAAACGTAAAGTCACTGAGAAAAAAACCCCACAATAATTGCTACTAATTATCAAATCTGTTTTAAGGAACAGCCCACTTTCACGCTCCATGTCTAACTCAACTGTGTGTTGAGAAAAATCATGAGAAAAGATTGAAGGGGCTTTTTGGGGGTGTGGGGGAATCACGTGTTTTTTGGCACCGTCGACACTCTCTATAATGCTGCGCTCGTAATGGATTTCCCGCTGGTGGCTGCTGCTGACCGGGGAGCCGCAGCTGCAGCAGCGGAGCGCAGCGCATGAAATCAGCGCCTACCACTTGATGCCGCTGACCTTGGCCGGTTGGTTGGCTGTTGGCGGAGATCACGCCTCTTTCACATCAACATTTTTTTTCCCTTCTTCTTTCTCCAACCATGGCATCATCCTCATCATCAACAGCATCACCATCCGACGGGCTGGATGATGAATGCGTGGTGCAGCGCGGAAGATCTCAGAGTGACCCTAGCAGCGTCACCGAGGTCCGCTCGGGAGAAGCCCACGGTCCAGGTAAGAGGATAAGAAGAGGGCGCCGGCTGGACGTCTGTTTTTTTTTCTTTTTTTGTTCTTTTTCCGTTTGATGCCGGTGAATCACGTGTGCTTGGTCGCGTGCTCGGTGATCCCGCTGATACTATATGCAACATGCGTCGTCATGTGCGTATTTTTGCGCTGCGCTGCAGGGCCTTCCAGGAACCCCCCCCCCCCCCCCCACCACCACCACCACCATGATAAAACTGAGCATCACGTGGGCATTTCTGAGACTGTGTGTGCATTCTGCCATGCTTCCATCACGGTGTCGAGTCTGTGACGTAATCTGCAAAACAACCTTATTATTCCATAAATCTGATCATTTTCATTGGGTTCATGATGTTTTTGCTTTGAATTTTTCCTTTACATGTTCTCTTTACTTAAAGCTGGAGCAGCGCTGCTGCTTTTGTTGCTGGTGGTGTATTTGGCTGTTTCCATGGTGATCCAAATGGCAGAAGGCAGTGCCAGGCTTTCCAACTGTGAGGTGACATGGTGCTCATCTGTCTGCTCCACTTTTTTTCCACGTCTTTCCAGCAGCAGTCGTAAGCCTTTCCAAGTGAATTGCCGGTTCAGGCCTTGACGTTGGCCTTTAGTGTTGAGGTGGAATCCCTATTTCTGCTGGACGTTGTTGGGAAGGTGTTTTCTGTTGCTTGGCAGCCCGGGAGCTTTTTTAAAAGCTACTGCTGTGGAGTGTTGATAAATGTATAGGAGTATAGTCTTTTTTTTGTTAGTTTTTTTTTGTGAATTGGCAGCAGATTATAAAAACCTCAATCATTTTCATTTACATTATTTATTGTTTTTCTCTTTCCTCTCTTTCTACCAAAAACTGGATGACAAAAGTCTTCAGTCTGGTTCTTCGATCTCAATAAGTCATTTTTTAAGGACAAAAATGTATTCATACATGTTTTCTTTACAGACTTCATGATTTATTTGTTATTGTTTCTGTGGTTTTCTGTATTTATTTTGATTATTTAAAATGTCTTCCTGTTTGTGTTAAATGTCAATCCTCTGAGAGCGTATACGTTATTATGCCATTACCATGTTATTACTTGAAAATGGTCTCAAATCAACTATATGATAATTTACAACAATAACTTCTGGGACAATTTATCATGCCAAGGACCAAGGCCTCCCCACACAGGCCACGTCCGGCCCCTGCACCACCACAGCACCCCACTTGAAGGTCCTTTTAGTCTTAGGATTCTTTGAGAATATGAGCTGTGGAGAAACCAAAACTGTAAGAAGAATCTTGTAAAGTCTGCCAAAAGCTCTGTAGAGTAGACCAGCTGCTCTGGTTAGATGAGGCCAGAACTGAATCCTAACGGCTGTATGTGGAAGAAAACATAGCCAGTTACCAAGCAATGATTTAGATCAAAGCATCTATAACGGCCTAAATCCAGTTAAGACTTTGTGGCAAGACTTGAAACTGATGTTCGTACACACTCCTCAGCCTATAGATGGAGCAGATCCACACTTTACACATTCATAAATTCTGTTTGAACACGACGCAGTCAGCTGTCATTGGACCCGAGGTCTCCAGGAAGGATCCTCTAGTCCTTCTGCCAGCGGCTGACTGACGCTGGCTGTGTTGATGCCCTCGCTCCTCTTCATGGCTCATTCTGTTCTCGTGGTTGTTATGGTTATGAAACTGTGTTCATTTCTGTCTGAGAAGCTCTGAGTCAACATCTGAAGGGTGGAAAATGGCCCTTGTGTAATCGTTTTAGACCTAATGTCCACCCACCAGCCCACAGTTCCCTTGTCAGCGTCTTCCATCCGCATCAGGATGTCGTCCCGCTCCTCCCCTGCTCTTCCATCCCATCACACTTGATGCTAGCACTTTAGCTATCAACCCTGTTATGACTGAATTCACTGCTTGAAGAATCATGTCCATTAATAGGGATAAAAGTGGGAGCAACAGATCTCTGATGTCAAGGGAATCAGCTGCATAATCGCCTTGACAACATTTTCATATGACCTCTCAATACAAGTATTACAAAGTAATGCATTGCAACACTTGGACATTTAAAGTTTCTAAGTTTCGTACCTCTTATAAGGCAAAATACCTACCAATGGATTGTAAAGGGGTGGTGTCATGTAAAAATATCTTTCTTGAGCTTTACATCATGTTATTATTTTCCTATTCAAAAACATGAGTGTTACTTTATTTTTTTCATACATGTTTGAGAAATTCTTTAGTCTCCTGTGGCAACCATTCAACTGTACAAAACTGCACAATGTGGGTTAAATGGTTAATAGAGTGATGACTTCCTTTCAGAAAAGCATATATATATATATATATATATATATATATATATATATATATATATATATATATATATATATATATATATATATATATATATATATATTATAAAGTCACAGTCAGGCTCAGGATAAACCTTTTCATCACCTAATTGAACCTTAAACCAAGCTATTCTTTTGTGACAATTTAGATTAGTTCTGGATAAATGATTGTCTCAGCTTTCATAATCTGTTAAAAATCATGATGGATTTTTTTGTTTTAAACAAAATCATTGCTATGTCTTTGTACCAAAATGATTTTATCTGAGCTAGGACTGGTTAGATCAGTTATCAGTTCTGCCTACATATGATTAAGTTCATAAAATCATTTGATTTAAAAAATATAGTTGCCAGAACGTGAAAAAAGTGAAATTGCTATTGTTCATGTTCTGTTTTACTGTTTTTCTGAACAACATGCCGGCCTGCTGAGGCTCCCCTCGTCTCTTGCTGTTGCCCTGTTGCCTGCAGCCTGTGAGAGCCTCTTGTCCTTTTCAAAGTGGGCGCTGTTGTTCTTTTCTGGCATGCTGCATTAACATCAGAGGCTCTTATCGTCCGACTGCTGCACCTCCACCTCCACTTTCCCCTCTCAGCTGCACATGGCCTTCAGCTCAGTCCTCTCTATCAGTCAAATGAGAGAAGGTATGGGCGGCTGCATGAGGCTGGGATGCCTTTTATTTTGCTTGCCTTATGTTTTATTAATCGGGGAGCCTGTTTATAAGACAGTTTGTCTCATTCTGAATTCAGAGCTGTGAGCGAACTGTGAGAACAGAAGACCCAGCGCCTGGCAGCTCACGCCTACATGCACGCATAGACCCAGCAAGGAGTATGTGCAAACCGTCTCCATAGACACACAAGTCATGGAGCGCACACTCCAACTCACAAAAGGTGTTCTTATAGTCTGGAAAGAAGAAACAAAAGAAAATCTATTTCACTCACACAGCATATCTCTGTCTCTGCAGGATTGCAGCGTGTGGCACCTATTGGCAGAATCTGGGTCCTGAAGCTCACAGAACATGGATTCTATCTCTTGCTGCAGCCTCTTCCTCCATGTTTTAATTCACGCCTGTTCTTAGTAGGGGCTAATCTCAACTCCCAGAACCGTTTTATTGAGAACAGTGCTCGGGTTCTGGGTAATTAAGAGCACCAGAAGGTTTCTTGATAACTCAAGATCAAAAAATTGCATGGAAACAATACTGAAGAGGACCTGGGTGGACAGAAAAGGCTAGAATTTCAATTTTGGTGGAATCCTGTTCACATATTCACCAATTTGCAGATTTCTGTGGAACGGAGCTCCAGGTTATTTGTGGAATAACTTGGAGTTACTGAATATGTGCTCTATTCATAGATTCATGGAGCACATAAAACTTCAAAGAAAATGCAGCGAGAGAAGTGGTGTGTTTGCAAGCTAATATACAATGAATGTGAATATTTATGTGCTTCAGTTATTGCTATTGCCCTTTTAGACTGTAGGGGCCCATGGGTGGCCATGGCATGTTGTTTGTGTCAAAATTAAAACTATTGCACATCCAACGGTGTCTACTTCCTTCTTGAAGGAGGCTGTATCCTTTCTAAAGCTAGCTAATAACAGCCATCGCTAGCAAATTAGGAGGCAGCTTGCATAAGACTAGTATGTCTAGGCTGGTTAACCTCTGGATTTGCCTTCTTCCTCTGATGTCCAATAGCAGAAGTAGGCTAATGCTAACATTGGCTAGGTCAGGATTAGCTTTGGAGATACTGGTAACTAGCATGCCTGGGCTGGTCACCCACTGGATTGCCTACTAACTGTGCTGTCCATTACCACATATATGCTAACGCTAGCATTGGGTTGGCAAGCAATAGCCTTACAGAGGCTGGTGGCCATCATCCCAAGGCTGGTCATTTGTGATTTATAAACTTTTCTTTAAAGAACATTTTTTTGAGAAAAATGGTTGGTGTACAATCTGGAGTTGATATAAATTAGATGTACTGACTTGTTCTTTTGACAGTTTATTGTAATCCAATTTTTCAGTACCTTGAGCATCTTTAATTTGTTCTAGTTGATTAAGAACTAGAACAAATTAACAATCTCTTCAAACTGAAAGCAGACTACTTGACACCTAGTTTGTACTTCGCGGATATAATGTCCTGTGATAAGGAAGTAGCTACCAGTGGGTGTGTAATATTCTTAATTTTGACACTGGTAGCGTGATGGGAGAAAAGAAGAGAGATACAAGAGGTTATTGAGTTAAAAGGAATGTTGTAAGCTCAAGACATCGTTTCCAGTGTTTAATGCAAATGCAACTAGAAGCTGAAATACTTATGTGCAATGATACCTCCTCGACTCTGACTGGTTGTATCCCCGCTAGTCTGCCTACAGACCAAGGTCTCACCACCACAGGCGAGGAGGAGAACAGGTTGTTGAAGTGTTTGGTTTGTTTTACACAGTATAGTGTCAAAGAGAACCACATCTGCTGAAAATATAACAAATGCTGTGATTCTGGTCCCCAATCCAACAGTCTGCTGGACGAAGGTGTGAAAAAATCCTTATGTTCTGCTCTACAGAAGAGTATTTATCTCAAACATTTTAACCAGATGTATTCAAGCTAAAACAAAAACCTTGAATTAAAAGAAGCTGGAAACCATTTAAAAACTAAAGAATTGAGTCTTTTTGTAGACATCTGAACAAACTTAAACCGTAATAC